TATATATATATTCCCACCTTCTGCAGGAAGCAGAAGCCTCCCGTTTTAAAAGACCCCAGCTCAAGACCCAGGCAGACATTTTCCTGCCCTGAAGGGAATCTGTCCCATGTGTTCCTTTGCTAATAAACCCTATTTTGATGGAGTTTTATCTGTGCCTCGGTGCCTCATCCTCCATTCACTCATTCTCCACCAACTTTTTACGTATCAATGACTTGAGGGTGTATGCATACCTTTAAATGACAGCACAAGGGCACCCTTGTCTACATAACATGTTCCAGGTGTATAGGGGCCTTCGTATCATTGCCTCCAGGTCAGCAAAACAAAAGATACAAGATGATTCATATCTTTCCCCAAACTTCTGATCTCCCTTTCACATTCTTGACCTCTTCTACCAAAAGATAAGGATTGCCCATGCTGTTGACATGCCTTTATTTTCCCATATTGGATGGATCTTTTCTACCTATTGGGTCGTTAGTTATCTTCAATTACAAACGTGTTGTTTCAAGGAAGATTTACTAACATGTCCCCTGGTTTATATAGCTCTACATAGCTCAGTGTTTTTAACCTAGTAATAGTATTGGTTTCAATTCAAGCATCACTCATGGGAGTGCTAACTTTAACAAATCCGGAATATATAATGTTACACACACACACACACACACACACACAATTTTCCTTGACATAAAGATTATTGAAAGGTCACTATGAAATGTCCTATATTTAAAATCTAACTTTTATCACATGTGTTTTTTGTATGAGAGATGCACATGTGCCACTATGTGCATGTGAAGGTCAGAAGACAACATGCAGGAGTCAGTTCTTGCCTTCCCCTAAGTGTGTCCAAAGGATTGAACTCAGGTTGTCAGGCTTACTTGCACATGTGTTCAGTAGCTTAGCAATCTCACAAGTCCATGCTTAAAATTATCTGGCAAAATTGTTTGTAGTAGTAAAAGCCTTATGTAATAGAACCAATGAATAAATAGTACTATACAAATGCAATGGATTTTAAGTGAGGAATAAAAACGTGTACATGTAGATATGTGAATTTCATAACTATAAAATTGAATTTCACAGTCCATGTAAGGCAGGCTTGGAAGCACAACACTTGTAATCCCAGTACTTGACAGGTAGAGACATAAAGACCTGGAAATTATAGTCATTCTCAACTATATAATGAGTTGGAGGCTACCCTGAACTACATAATATCCACATAAAAATACTGTGCGATTCTATCTCTGTAACGTCAAGAAGAAAAGCACTGTAAAATATCAAACTAGGTGTGAAGAATGAGAGATTGCTTCTTGTTCATTACAATTATCTTCTCAGATGGTAGGATTTACTGTAATTTATGTAAGGCTATTTTTTTCTGTTCACATTTTGCATTACTTTTTCTTTCAAATTTTTCACATTAAATGGGGGAAATTTTCCTTAAAAAATGGCTCTGATGGAGCTTGAGGGTAGATGCCTGTAATTCCACTATTTGGAAAGTAGGGGAGGAAAGACCTGTGCAAGACCAGCCTGAGCTACATGAGACCATATAGCAAAAACCATCTGTGAATGTAAAATATCTTACACCTGTTCTATGATACATTGTGGTGATTGTGCCTCACTAAGAGATGTTTTAATGATGTTATGCTCATATGTTTTCTTTCCACATGGTGATTCAGAAGGTAAAAATATATGTGATGCCAGTACCACCACCCCAACCAATAACAACAGAAATCCCAAACATAAAAGCTTCTCTGAGAACCTCACAGTCAAGCTACTGAGTATAGTTTACTTCCTTCATGAGGTCTTTTTCCTCTTAGCCCTCATGCTTAAAAAAATCTGTTTAAAACATGGGATCAACCTGGTGATGATATCATATACATGTTCACCATGAACATTCAAAAAAAGTCTCTATTGCATGGGACTGGAGAGATGACTCTGCTGTTACTCTTTGAGCAAGAGTACTTGCTTTTGCAGAAGACCCAGATTAGATTCCCAGCATGTACATGGCAGCTAACAACCATCCGTAACTCCAGTTCCAGGGGATCTGACACCTCTTTTGACCTCCAGGGGCATTGCACAACATGGATATACCTACCTACATGCTGTTTTTACATTTGTACATAAAAAATTGAGCATAATTTAAAATATATTTAAAACTATTGCTTAATCACACTTTATTATGTATGTGTTGCTTTTGTCTGCATGTGTGCATACATGTTAATGTGTGTATGTGCATATGTGTGTGGCAGCCAGAATTTACTTATGTTTCCTCAAACATTCTTTTACTTATTTCTTTTTATTATTGTGTCTTTATTTTTATTGTGGGTTGGGGCTCATATACCACAGGCTGAGTGTTAAAGTCAGAGGATAACTTACCTGAGTGGGTTTTCTCCTTCCATTATGTGGGTCTCGGGATAAGATAAAGGTGTTAGACTTGGCTGCAGTTAATCTTGTTGGACCACATTTTATAAAGGATTTGTATAGTTCTGTGTGTGGTTCAGGTGCAAACAGCGAGCAGAAGGCAGCATTGAATCCCATATTAGTGAGTGGGTGTTTTCTTAGAACATATGTGGAGGCAGGAGGACAACTTTGTTATCACTTCTAGTTTTACATGAATTTCAGGAATTGAATTCAGGTCATCAGCCTTGTGCAGCAAGTGCTTTTGCACCAGAGTCATTCCTGGTCTGTCCCCTAGAAACTCTCATGCTGCCATGTGTTTCATAGTATTCTTTCCACAGAGAAAAAGAAATAACAGACCTGAATGTTGTCAGAGTCTTTCTGTAGACATCAGGATCATGCTGTTCCATAAGTTACTCCGTGTTTTATAAAACTGTGTCATGCTGTGCTAACACTAAGTGAATGCAGCTTACAAAACAATAGTTTGTTCCATTTCAGTGTAATGCTGAGGCAGAAAGACTCGGCACATTTTTTGTGCATTGTAAAACATGAGGCAAAAATTAATCAACAACATTCATGTAAGAAAATTTGACAACGTAGAATCACATCGAAATAAACCAAGAATGAATAGAAATATACATAACATAAACATTATCTGAAAAACCAGGCCCCCAAGCAACAAATCTCTTCCTGTGACCTGGGACTATTCCAGAAAGAGCAACTCAGGACTGATTTGTGGCATGCACACTGGAATTTCATGAGATTAGTCATTACAAGCATTAGCCAAAAACATTGCTACAATGGAGGAATTTTTCTTGGTCCCTGAGCTCCAGTCTCCATCCACCTCTGGTTCTCAGGTCTGTGATGCACAACCTGCATCAACCAGACCAGTGAACTGCCTGCCACTCAATCCTGCATTTAACCAATTTGTTCTGTTAAAATCTTTATGTCTGCTCTATACTTTATGTCTTATCTGGTCCACTGTAGAGATCATCCCTTGCATCAGTATCAGGTTTCTGCCTCTGCTTTCTGTGAAGCCCTTACAAACTCTAAAGGCACTTTAACCCTTTTTTGGCTATTGTACAATACAAGTGCATGCATGACACATGAGCACACATGCACGCACGCACACACACACACACACCTACGCACACACACACACACACTACTGTGATAAGTAATGTGTAATCCATGAGTTAATATTAGAAATTAAGATCAGAATAAAGTAAGCTGTTCTTGCTAATGACCACATTCTTAAATAAAATTAGGATTACTTATTACACAGAAGAGAGGCTAGGGAGATGGCTCAGCAACTAAGAGCCCTGGCTGCCTTTGCTTTGAGGAAAGAAGCTGGATGGGGGAGTTATTGCATTCCAATGCTCAGTGTGCATTCGATATGTGTTCATACACATCTTTATGTTTAGGATTTAGGTTCTAATTGGTACAAATAAATTGTGAAAAAATGGTAATGAGAACATACATAATGCAAGAATAATAGGAAAGGCTCCTCTTTGTTCTCTGCAGATTTGCAGGAGTAAAATAAAAATAGTTAAATGAAATAGGGGGAAATTAAGGCAGTTCTAGTAAGCTCTTGGAAACAGTCACTAAATTTTGTCAGCATGATCTAAAAGCTTAAATACATCTTATCACAATTTTATGGGATTATCAAGTTACTCATTAGGAGGATTATTCAGTCTTAGAAATACATCTGATGGCCTGAATCCAAGTCTGTTGGATTCTCAGAAGAGACAGTGAATTGGAAATAATTCTTCTTGGAATACTGAACTATTGAATGGGACTGAAGTAGAAAACCATGGTGTGTATCAAAATGTTGTCTGTATGCATTGACATACTTTAGTCTGCCCTTTGTAGATAAATTCACTTAATACAAACCCAGGCTGGGGATAAGGGGTCATTGCTTTCTTGATTTTTGAGTCTGTGCAATAAGCATGGAGATTCCATATTGGTAATCAAACTCAATATACCTATTTTTAGTTGCTTGTTTTATTATTACTTGAAAGTAATTTGTCAGACATTTATAATTGTAGTAGCACAGAATAATCCTATTTACTGTGTAACTGCAAGAGCAATCTTCTGATAAACTGACTTCCTCACTGATGCTTCTGAGTCACCCAGACCCATCTACACCTATTCCTCTCACCTTTATGGTGGTATTTTCTTAACTGTGTATGACACATTTAGTCCTATTAGTGCTGCCCATATAGACATATTTGTGGGGTCATCCACTGTAACATGGAAAACCTACCAGTAGCCATATTCCAAAGAAAAGTGACTCTGGATCCCTTAGACCCCATCAAATTCCAATAGTTCTACATCTGGTGGTGGGGACTGGAGAAGATTTTCCCCATTAATTTTTCAGTATTGCATTTTTGAATGTACTGACACTGCACAGGATTGTGCATGTAACCAGAGCTGTGAGATCCTGAGGGCAAAGGCCATAACATGTCCAGAAGACAGCATCTCACAGAACAACTCCCAATCTCCATTCTCTTCAGCACAGTTAAGAACAATGATAAAAATAACGATTAGCAATATCTTATTCCCAAATGATGTATCACTGTAATATTTGGTGCAATTTTAAGATCCAGTACTTCTATAAGGCTTGGGGTCTGTACTAGGACCTCTTGTAAATATGTGTATTAAACTATTTAATTTTCAAACCTCTAAATTGCAATTCCATCTTAGCTATGACTGATCATAAGTAAGAAGTTGAATATATAGACATTTCATGTATAAGAGCAACTTTCATTTCCGTTTCTTTCACATCATTGGCAGTGATCTAATTTGCCAAGATTTGAACTTAATAGGGATTTTTTTTCAAATAGAATGATAATTAACCTCTTCTATTAAAGTAGTATTAATGTTCAGGGTGAGATTTCACAGTATGTATTAAAGAATTAGAAATTAAAATTTTTTTAATCCCAGCACTTGGGAGGCAAAAGCAGGTGGATCTCTGTCAGTTCAAGGCCAGCATGGACTGCATAGTGAGTTCCAGGACAGCTGGGTCTACAGGGAGAACCTATCTCAAAAAGATAAAAAAATAAATAAATAAAATTTGACTAATATAGAATCTTTTATACTTAGAGCAATTTTCTCTAGCCAGAGATTCAAGTGCCTGACATATGTGTACAGTCTAAATTTGCATTATTTTTTTTCCAAGCAGCCCTTCCTGCAGTGTGTAGAGAGATCTAGGGCTGACTATAAATAAGAATTATGTGGTCACTAATAACCTACCATGGAAAGAATTTGTTCTTGGTTATATATTGTAAATAGGAACCTTGATTAATAAGCCCAGTTTAACAGTGGTTTCTGAAAGACTTGAAGTTTATTGCCCCCTACTCTAGGTCATTTGGTTCAGGGAGGATCTTTGAGCAGACATGCAGGCATGCATAGCTGGAATGTTGTACTAGCTGACTTGCACAAGCTGGGGGTGAGGCATGCACAGAATCCCTAGAGCAGCAGTTGCTACTCAGAGGACAGGCAGCTAGAAATGGCTGTTACCTCCACCTTAGGAAACTGTCAGCAAGAGAGTACAGCCTCCCTGGTGGTGTCTTTCATATGTGCTCTATTTTTACTCATTAAGATTGAAAATTTGTAGAGATTGAAATATTTTTAGTACAACATGAGGATTCCAGTCCTGCATTCTTTGGCTGTGAGGTATCAAATCAGAAAGCTATAGAGGGCCTAGCTTCAGTTGTGCTCCCTGTGATGACTTGGGTGATTTACTGCCTACATTTTGTCCCCCAAGTTGTTCTGTCATGATAAGTCCCAGGCCAATCAGGGATATGTAGTGAGAACTGTCTCAAAACAAGAAGATTAAAAAAAACCTGTCATTTCCTATAAGGTGAGATTTTGAGTATTTCTAGAACATATATGTATATATATTAGAGAGAGAGTGAGAGATAAAAACTACATATTATCAAGATAATATTCATGGTTGTAATTTATCAAGTAAACATGTTTAAAACGTGAGTTTCACTATATGATACTAAAAGGAAAAGATTACAAGTTGTGTTCTCAAAACTATTTAACTGCCATTAATAAATTGGTAGAATTATTATTCCATTAAATGCAATATGTACTTTGTAGATAAAGAGAAATAATTGCATTTCTTTGGAGGTAACAATTAAAATTTATGTATTAATTTTTTATTATTTGATATTGGGTTATATTATGTTTCCTTCCTCAGAGGGATTAAAACAGAGGCCATTCCTTGCCATCCCAGCTCAGGTGAACTAGGCTCTGTCTCAAAGGTTGGTACAACATTCCTAATTTCAGGAAAATCTGATCTCTGTAGTGGTGTCCTTGTTTAATTGGCTTTTTTTTCTTTGTTTTTAATTTCAGTTTTTATTATCTGGTATTCTTTTCTTCATTTTCTATTAACTCTTTGAAAATTTCATACAATTTATTTCATCACACTCAACCCCTCCCTTTATCACTCCTATATCCACCCCCTTTCCTACCTACCCAAATTTGTGTAATCTTTTTAATTTTTTTAAAACCCATCAGGCCCAAATTTGTGCTGCCCATATACTCTTGAGTGTGGGCCATAAAGTAAAGAGCAGTCAAACTTCCTAAAGAAAAGTAAGTCTCCACCACACAGCAGCTATGGGTTTTCAATTACTCAGGTCAGGGAGGGTCACAGTTTTTTCTCCCCTGTACATGCTGGGATTTTTGTCCGCCTTGAGTGTACACTCGTCTTATATTTGCTTTCACAAATGCTGTAAATTCATTCATGCAACTGCTCCCATTGGGTGTGGAAGACTGTTTCCTTCTCATCCACAACCTATGGTTCTTAATATCTTTCTGTCCCCTCTTCCAAAATGATACCATAGCCTTCAGTGGAGGAATGTGATGTAAGTGTTCCATTAAGGGGTGAGCACCTTTCAGTCTCTTTTTCTCTGCATGTTGGACAGCTGTGACTCTCTGTCACTTGCAATCTACTGCCAAAATTTGCTTGTCTGATGGTGGTTGAGTGATGCACTACTCTATAATGAAGTCTTTAGTAGCTGGTTTAATACTATGCTTATTTGGCAGAATGATAGTGTTAAATTTTCTCCTTGGGACTAAGAAATACCTAGCTGTAGGTTGTTGGCCCTGGTAATAATGGAAGGAATGTGTTTCATCTTGTCAAGTAAGCCTTAAATCCAATCATAAAGTGGTTTGTTACTATCATTAATGCTACCATTGCAACAGTGGACAGGATTGCCAGGTCAGCCATTATTGTAGCTCAACTATATCATTAAAGGCTCAGGCTCACAACAAAACAGATAAGAGTTTGATTCGCAGCACCCACACTTGTCTCGCAAGATTCCCTTTCATTGGGTGTTTACATTCATTTGTTTTCCTTTATTTTATGTTTTTAAAAATGTGCTCATGTAGCCGAGACTGGCTTTGAACTTATTATGTAGTCAAGGTTATCCTTGAACTTCTGATGTCCCTGCCTCCATCTTCTGAATGTTACAAAGATGGGCATTGACAACTATACCCACTTTATGCAGTGCAGGGGATCAAACCAAGGACTTCCTGCATGCTAAGCAAGTACTGAATTAAATGAGTTATATCATTAGTATTATTACGATTTCATTTTTGGGCGGGTCACATAGCACGAATGACTCCAACTTTGGTCTCTGTAGCTGGTCCAGGTGGCTCAGTAATGGACCTCTATAAGTGATGTATAGCAACTGCATGGTATTTTTTAATTATGAAAAGATCTCATAGATAGATAACACACTTTCCTATTCTGAAAATGACATAAGCTACTTTCTTACTATAGGGATATGAAGCTAATCATAATGGTTCCTTCTTTCCCCAAAGCTATAGACACTGCTGTGTTTCCAGAAAACTGAGATGACTTCTGCCTCATCTTCATAATACTGCAGCAAGTACCCTTGTGAAAATTGACCATTATATAAAATTTACCTTAGCATTTCATAAAAGACCACTAAATTATTTCAGTTTTCCAGTGGATTAAAATGCCAAAAGAAATGTGGTGTGTGTGAGGGGTGGGGTGTGTGTGTGTGTGTGTATTAAGTGTTCAGGAAGTAGTTTTTGTAATATGGACTTGAGAACAAGGAATTATATTTCCCCTGCTCTTACCTCACAAAACTATTGAGCTGTCCACCATTTTAGCCAATCCTTTGACATTTCTCAAAGAGTTTTTATGTTAGTAGACATAGAGTGGCCGGGCTAGTGAGGAAGGGATTCCTCAACTTTGGTTGAACAGGAGCTTTCTTACCTGAAAAGTCTTTTTTAAAAAATATTTTATTTATTAATTTTATTTTGTGTGTATACGTGTATTGCCTGCATGTAGGTAAGTGCACCCATGCCGTGCAGTGTCCACGGAGGACAGAAAAGACTGTCGGATCCCCTGGAACTGGAGTTACAAACAGTTGTTAGTTGCCATGTGGGTTCTGGAATTTGAACCCGGGTCTTCTGCAAGAATAATCAGTGTTCTTAACCACTGTGCTACCTCTCCTGCCCCAAAAGGTCTTAATATAAACCCAGGTAAGTAAAGGGAATAAGTTCAGGATGCCAACAGGCACGTCAGGATTTCATAATCTGTGAATGAGCCATGTGCAGGAAAGAGAACTGAACTTGAGCTTGTAACTCAACTTTGAATGGTATACAGGTGAATGAGCATTTTAAAGGAAAATTAGGAATTGGGTGGAGGAAGCAAGGAAAGAAGGGTTTCAATAGCAACCCAGGATTGAAAAGCTATGAATTGTGGGTGAGAGGAAATGTAACTAGGGAAGCTGTATCTGTACACTGACAATTATGGAAGACAGAACTCAGTCTTCCCAGAGGCCATTTCATTTCTGAGGATTGCACATTCGGGCAATGGATTTCAGATCTCTGAAGAAGAGATGACACTATGGAGTTAGGAGATAAACATGCACATCTCTATAAATCTCATGTATCCTGAATAAATTGATCACATTTTTGTTTGACAAGATTATATCTCATAACATAAACTTGCTTTTTCCTCCTTCAAACACTTCCCCTAACAGTGCCAGGATTATAGCTGTGCTTGGCTAGACCCTAAAGAAAAGGATCCTGGAAAAGAACAGGATGAATGTTCCAATAACTCTCAATCTCAAAATGTATTACAAAGCTATAGCAATCTACTTACCTCCCCCATTAACCTCTCTTCTTGACTTAATACAGCAGATCCCCTTTCTCTCTCCAACCAATATCACTAATTCTTTCTTACCTAGTGTTACATTTTGTATTATTTATTAGTGTGTATGTGTTTGTGCACATGCATGCCTCATTACATATGTGAATGTCAGAGGACAACTTGTAGGACTCAGTTTTCTTCTTCCACCATGTGAGTCCTGAGGATGAAACTTAGATCAGCAGGTTTTGCATTGGTGACTTTACCTACTGAGCCATCTACCTGAATTTCATACAAGAATTCATACAAGAATTATATATGTATATATGAAATTTCATATAAGAATTATATATATAATTTCACCCTTCCTGTCTTTCCCAATATACCCACATTCACTCCATTCGTTCTTTTTTCACTATTATTATTATATATACATAAATTTATATATAAATAATGCACTGGGTCCATTTAGTGGTGCTTATGTGTACATGATAAACATTTGGGATTAGAAAACATATCAGAGAGTTTGTCCATGGAGAAAACTGATTCTCCCTGCCACAACATCCATTGTTTGCTGGCTCCTCACCTAGCCGTGGAACCCTGGGAATTTTTCCCATTCATACTGAAAAGTCAACAGGAGTTCTTATTCTGCAGATCTGGTATAGGGAACCCATTGTGAGGATCTCATAGGTGTCTCATCCCATTTCATGTTTAGAATTCACTATCTAATAGCAGTTGTCCTGGTACTTTAGCTATTAGTATCTTTAGGCCGACTGTTCTGTGATCTTGCCTGACTCTATGGTGAGTTGTTGTACTCTACATGTACCAACTGGGGATAGGCACCACGTGGTCCTTTATTTTCTGCATTTTGAATAAAGCTCTAATAAAATCAACATGGCATGTGTATAAAAACAGGGACAATAATCAGTGGAATATAACTGAGGACCAAATTTAAATCTATGCTTCTACAGCCACCTGGATTTGACAAAGTAGCCACAAATGCTATCTGGAGAAAAGAAGCATATTCAATGTTTATTTTGCAATCCGTGATAAATCAAAAAGGTTACCTTCTCTGTTCCTTTTAAAGAAATTTGGTAATATTTTCAGTTTATACTTATGATACATTTTTTGTTGTAATTGGATCCAGTGAAAAATTAGAATAGACAGTTTTGTTTGGACATGTTAGTGCTCAAGAACTCTAGCACCCTTTGTTGAAGTTGCTATCTTTCCCTAGTATGACTCCCTGGTGCTTTATATTGAAACCTGTTCTATTCCTGGAAGCTACATGTTTTTATTTGATCTAAATGTCTTTCCTTACACAAATACCACAGTACTTGGTTGTACAGGTTTTTTTGTTTCTTTCTTTCTTTTGGTTGCATTCATGATGTAGTGTGGACACAACTTAAGATCACAGCTAAATAAAACAGAATTAAGCAGTCTTGTCACTGGAACAAAGAAAAAAAATATGGTGTGTGGGGAAAAACCTCGTGCAAGGAAATCAAAAGGAGAATTTGGGGGGAATGAAAGCCTAACACCCAAGAAAAATAACCACAGAAAATGTTCGTATTATCTGAGTAAAACCTGCTTTAGCACTACAGTGAAAGATGCTGAGTCTGACTATAAACTATCCTGGAAGGAGACAATTGAACATGAATCTCAGGGTTCTTTTATTCTTTAAAATTTGCATTTCAAAACCAGATGCCATGACATACTTTAGGGGAATCAGTGACCACTATACACAGTGCCACATAGTATTTAACAGAACTGGGGCTGGGGATTAAGAATGCATAGAGTTGGTAAAACCAATTGAAAACTATAAAAGGTTTTGAAAAATATGTGGGTTCAGGAACATGAAATTACTGTGTTTAGTTCAACAATTAAAATATATATGTATATCTATTTTAAAGCTAGAGCATAATGCATAATTGTTAGAAAGGAAGTGCAATTCATGATTCCCTGGAAAGAACCAGGAAAAGTGAACCAGCAGGTCTACTTTTCATATCAGGTCCCACATTTAATGCAGATGTTCAAGACTTTCGGAACCCTATTAAACTGAATAATTTCACTTACAATTATGGATATACAAGTGCATGAACAAATACAGACTTCACATTTGACTCTGAAATTAATTCAATT